CACAGTTGTAGCCCGAGCCGTTATTGACTCCGCATCTATGGTAAGCTGCGTAACAGAAAATATTGCTAACCTGCTTATGCTTAAACGGACATTTTCCAGTAATTCCAAGATAGATGGCCTATCATCAGTAGAAGTTAAATCTAAAGGTGTGTCAAAAGTTAACATATCGTCTCTTAGCGGAGAAATGATTGCTGATAACAACCCAGTCCTTATTCTAGACAGAATAACCTCAAACCTCCCACACTCAGAAGTTCCAGTTAATGTTAAAGAATACTTCAAACATTTGGTCCTGGCTGATCCAACTTTTCATCTGCCTAGTAAGATAGATATGCTCATAGGTGCTGATCTATTCGCTAAAGTGATCACTGGTGAACGCATTATCCTTAACAAGGATCTTCCTGCTGCCATGAATTCTGTATTTGGATATCTTATCATAGGATCTGCCCCAACTCTTCCTGCTGTAGTCCCTCACAAAACAGCCCCTCAATGCAAGGGTAATCTTTCTTCTTTATTAAGTACTCAAGATATTGATTTGCACAATTCTCTGCAGAAATTTTGGACTCTAGAGGAACCTCCCATCAAACATCATATTACATCTGAACAAGAAATTTGTGAAAATCACTTTCTAAACACGGTCTCTAGGGATTCAGATGGACGCTACTTTGTTAGGCTACCCATAAAAGAAAATCATCCCCCTCTTGGTGACTCATCATTTTGCGCTCGTAATAGATTCCTATCACTTGAAAGAAAATTAGAAAGTCAGCCTGAAGTTAAAGCAGAGTATAGTAAAGCCATACATGATTTATTGTCATCTAGTCACATGGAACCTGTTAACCCTCCTCCAAACAGTGATAATAAACAATTTTACTTACCTCACCATGCTATTGTCAAAGTAGATTCCTCAACCACCAAGCTTCGTGTAGTATACGATGCAAGCGCACGCAGCTCCTCAGGTGTCAGCCTTAACGATATTCTACATACCGGGCCAAAACTACATAATGATCTTAATGATATTCTGTTAAAGTTTAGACTTTCCCCTATTGTCTTCTCATGTGACATCAAACAAATGTTTCGTCAAATAATGATCCACCCAGATGATAGAAACTATCAAATGTTGTATTGGAGAGATGACAAAGACGACCCCCTTTCAGTTTACCGTTTAACTACAGTTGTGTTTGGATTCAACTGCTCACCCTACTTGGCACTAAGGACACTTCACCAACTTATCACTGATGAAGGCGCAAACTTCCCTCTGGCAGCTGAGGCTTTAAAGAAACAAGTATATGTAGATGATTTAATATTAGGTGCCAACAGCATAGAACAAGCTTTGGTACTAAGAAATGAGGTGGAACAACTTCTTTTAAAAGGATGTTTCGAACTGAGGAAATGGACTAGCAACTGCCCTCAAATCATGGAAACTCTCCCCGACTCTTACAAAGAAACTCCTCTATATTTCAACTCCTCAGATCAACCTTATTTCAAGGTACTAGGTATAAAATGGTCACCTAACTCAGACACTTTCTCTTATCAGTTGAATATCCCAGACACGCCTCCCACTAAACGAGGTATACTTGGAACAGTTAGCAGAATATTTGATCCAAACGGTTGGTTGACTCCAGTCACTCTTTGGGTAAAAGCGTTGATACAAGTTTTATGGGCACTAGGTTTATCATGGGATGCGCCTGTACCTCCGGATCTAACTGAAAAATGGTCTAAGTTCCTCCAACAACTCCCTTTCTTAAGTGAACTTAGCTTACCTCGATATGTTTCCGTAGCTGATGCTGTTCATATCAGTTTACATGGATTTTGTGATGGGTCTGAAACAGGTTACGGAGCTTGTGTCTACTTGCGATGTGTAAGTTCTTCCGGAGAAATCAACGTACATCTGTTAATTGCCAAAGCTCGAGTAGCTCCTCTTAAGAAGATCTCCATCCCTAGACTAGAATTGTGTGGTGCCCATCTTTTGTCCAAACTCCTGAACTATTGCAACTCTCTACTCTCTCAAGATTATCTTGTCAACGAATTACATGCTTGGTGTGATTCATCTGTAGTCTTGTCATGGATAAAAACTGTACCCTACCGCTTAAAAGTTTATGTTGCAAATCGAGTCTCAGAAATTCAAGAACTTACTCCTACTTACATATGGAAACATGTCTCAACTCATTGTAATCCAGCTGACATTGCCAGTAGAGGAACCCTTCCCATTTCTATGAAAGACAACAGTTTATGGTGGAACGGTCCCAATTGGTTATCTCTGGATCAGGAATCATGGCCTATTCCTCGCTTCACCCCTCTCCAAGACGAACAATTGCCAGAACGTAAGATCGAACCTTTACCAATAATGGTTACAACTAAAAAACCAGACTTATTCAACAGGTTTTCATCTTGGTCAACCCTCCAGCGAGTCATTGCTTACGTTCTACGCTTCAAAAATAACCTTACAAACCAGGTTAAAGAATCAGGGTTTTTAAAGCTTGAAGAGCTTGATAAAGCAACAATCACTATCTGTAAAATGATTCAGCAAACTGTCTTTTCTGAAGATATTTCTAGATTGAAAGATGGAAAACCTTGTTCCTCTCGTCTCGCGTCTCTCTCCCCCTTCTTAGACGAAAATGGATTGATTCGTGTTGGAGGCCGCCTTAAGCACTCTCAAGTATCCTACGCTGCAAAGCATCCTATTGTATTGCCCAAAACTAACCATGTCACCAATCTCATCGTTGATCATTACCATTTGAAACACTTGCATGCTGGACCTCAGTTTTTACAAGCAGTTTTATCTCAGAAGTTTTGGATCCTATCTGCTCGAAGTATTATTCGAAGAAGAGTTTACAAGTGCATCCGATGCTTCAAATGCAATCCTAAGACAACAACTCAGAAAATGGGAGATCTTCCTCCACAACGAGTCCTACCCTCAAGAGTGTTCAACAACTGCGGGACGGACTTTTTAGGCCCATTCTCAGTTAAACCTTGCAAATTAAGGAAGTCCTGTCCAATCAAAGTATACGTTTGTATCTTCATTTGTTTTTCTGTCAAGGCTGTACATTTAGAGGTTGTTACAGATCTCAGTTCCGAAGCTTACCTAGCAGCATTGACGAGATTTGTCTCTCGACGAGGGTTGTGTAGCAACATCTACTCGGACTGCGGAACAAATTATGTAGGTGCCGCTAATGAAGTTCAAAAGATTGTTAAGAATTTCTTCGTCCAGAAAGAAACTCAAGAAGCTCTTAGTAAGTTTGCAATGGAAAACAACATTACATTTCATTTCTTACCCCCCGCAGCTCCACACCAAGGTGGCCTTTGGGAGAGAACTGTCCGCAGTGTCAAACACCATCTTCGGAGAGTCATAGGCGAACAGATTCTTACTCTTGAAGAGTTCATCACACTAACCACTCGCATCGAAGCAATTCTAAATTCACGGCCCATAACCCCACTTTCATCTGACCCCAGCGAAATTGATTGCTTAACTCCTGGTCATTTTCTGATTGGAGGACCTCTTTTATCTCTTCCCGAAGCTAACTGGAATGATGTCTCAACAAACAGATTGTCAAGGTGGAAGTTTGTTCAAGCATTAACCCAAAGTTTTTGGAAAAGATGGCAAAAAGAATACCTCTACACGTTGCAACAACGAGGGAAATGGAGAAGTCCTCAACCTAACATAAAAATTGGAGATCTTGTCCTATTGCATGAACCAAACCAACCTCCCCTTTCATGGCGAATGGGACGTGTCATTTCAACTTCCCCAGGGCAAGATGGTCTTGTACGAGTTGTACAGTTAAAAACTTCATCAGGAACACTCTCCAGACCTATAACTAAAGTCTCACCCCTACCAATCAATGATGAATGTCGCAGAACGTTTCTGGTATGAGATCCCTACCTCACTCTTATCTAGGTCCGTCCACAGTAATTAGAGTTCAATATTGTCTGTTGGTTAGTAATTCTTTCAAGAAAGGTGATACTAAATCTTTAAAAAGAAAGAATTACTAACCAACAGACAATATTGAACTCTAATTACTGTGGACGGACCTAGATAAGAGTGAGGTAGGGATCTCATACCAGAAACGTTCTGCGAATGGTGTGACTTTCAAAGGTAGTCGGGGGAGAGGAAATAGACAAAGTGCCATAAATCATCACATCAAACAGTTACAGCTACAACCGCTCCCAGAGCCAGAGAGTGCAAGCCACTGATAAAGAACTCTGACAATGGTCAACTACTTGTGTTCTGCTCACTCACAAAATATTCTTACCACGGAACCAACACAACCCTGCACCTTAATCTCAACGAAATATGAACATCCAAAGTGAATCTGTCAACACTAGGTCCACTTCTTCTCAGTGACGACCTAGAGATGACAGACGAAGCCACTCACAACGAGGTGGAGCGCCGGAGAAGAGAACAAATCAATAATTGGATCATTAAAATAAGAAATTCATCCCAGAGTGTTCACAAGACTTGGGTAAAGGCAGCTTTGAAACACATAGTAAAGGTAGGTAGATTGAATCTCCTTTCTGAATATTACACAGTAATTCAAAACCAAACGCAAGCAAGGGTCATTGAACAAGTGATAGGCTAGTGTGTATTTAGAGCAACACAAAAACTGATCTGGGATTTTTATTTTTTACATAGATTTTGAATTGATAACTAGAAAATGAAAAAAGGTAATGCGCAAACTTAACTAAAATCTTTTTTAACTTATTAACTTACTAACTACTAAAGTGAAGCAGACCGATCATATATGCCTACAAGTTAACAAATACCTATTCACTACAAGTGTATGCAAACATACCGTACCTACAGATATTCAACCCAGTTAGCAAACCTTAGCCATACTAAATCTTTTGACCCTAAAACACTTAGCAAAACATTAAAAAACACTCCCATATTCAAGGAAAGTATGAATAAATGCAAGTCATGAGCAGGTAACAAACAATTCAGTTATTCCTCCATATCAAGCAGTCAAACTTATACTGTCAAGAAAATATTAACACTTGTATTTACTTACCGGACGAAGTCCAAAATCATCGTGAAGGATGAAATCTAGAAACAGTAGACGTTAGTAAAATGTAAAAGTTTGGACAAAAAGCAATACGAAGTGACTTTAAGGACCACAGAAATAGCACTGAAAATGTCGTTGCTATGGATTTGATAAAATGTACTTTTATTGTTAAAATCTTACAGAATGGCATGACGACTACCTTTGTTCATTATAGATATAAAAATCTATTAATGTATTAAAATGTGTACTATATATAGTTAGATCTGTATTTAATTTAAAAACATTTTCTATGTTTTTATTTTCTTTACAAATGCAGGTGCTATTTACCAATCGGAAATTATTAATTTAGTATATTTAGTTAATTCTTTTAAGTAATGACAATACCATTCTCTACTCATCCTAACAGGAATATTAAAGCTTTTTATATTGAACATATAACAAATATAACTCACATTAAAAAATAAGTATATGTTTAATTTATAGAAGCTATTAATAACAGAGGCAGATTAAAACAAATTTTTCTTAGTATTTTTTATGAGTTTGATAAGTATTTGTTAAGGACTTTTATATTTTGTACGTTCAAAGGGATAACTCTGGTAAATCATTGAAATTTGATGAAATTATGCTTAAAAGCGACCATATTGATTATAGTGACCTGATATTTGGAAAACCTAATCAGCTACGGTATCTATACAGGGTGATTGATATAAGTGTGCCAGCCGTTTTATTCGAAAACCATAAGAGATATAAAAAAAAAGTTAAATGGAAAGTGCCTTGGATTTTTTATTAAAAAAATTGTAGTCAAGTTTAAAAAATTATTTTAGCCGCCATTTTTCTAATATGGCCACCAACTTTGATTTTTCTTAAGGAACACCCTTGTATTTTATGATGTATTCCGGTAGAAAATGTAATTTTAAGACTTTATTATTAATTACGTAATTATTTTGTGATTTTTTTCATAAACCTAACCGTTTCAAAGATAATAATGGTTGAAGTTGTGAAATTTCCAATAGTTTTTGAATAAAACAGCTGGCATGCTTGCTTAGGCCTTTATTGAAACTCTTTCTCATGCCGAAATTTCAAAATTTAAACCATTATTATCTTTGAAACGGGTAGGTTTATGAAAAAAATCACAAGAATAAAATTGTCTTAAAATTACATTTTCTACCGGAATACATAATAAAATACAGGGTGTTCCATGAGAAAAATCAATGTTGGTGGCCATATTGGAAAAATGGCGGTTAAAATAATTTTTTTTACTTGACTACAATTTTTTTAATAAAAAATCCAAGGCACTTACTTTTATCAATCACCCTGTATAGTTTACTAATGCAGTTTAAATTGCAGTTTTTTGTATTGCTTGGTAGTAAGTTTTTTTTTTTGTATGGCAGTGGCAGTACCTCGATAATTCAGCTTAAACGGGCAGCTAATCGGCAAGACCACCGAGAGACCATTGAAATAAGTAAATTAATTAGATTGACCAAATGTTAGACAGCTAAAGACACTAATATTAATTTAGTGTGAGTGGGTAGCAGCAAAGATCTTAAAGTTATTATCATAAAAATTAGAAGGTTTGCAAGCCTTCTAATTCATAGATATGTTTGTGTTGGTAGGCCTAATGTTATATATTTTTTATTTTTTTAAGAGTACAAATAAGTAACGTGCATATTACTATAGACTAACCAACAATAAGGGAGAATGTTTTATATATGTTATTACCTGCATATGTATATACAGTATATGTGTCCGTTAGCACGATAACTCAAGCAAAAATTATCCGATTTTGATGAAATTGTGTGCAAACGTGTAAACCTACATTTATTCGAACGAGTTCGCGAACCAGCATGATCGGACGATGGGAACGGGGGTTTATGGGGTAAAAATAGGGTTTCCCCTTTTTGACCTTAAAAACACAACATTTCTCAATTTCTTTCCAAACCATTTTGTAGAGCTAAAAAAAAACAGATAATTTAGTATATTGAAGCGTTATTGTGCGCCATATGGTTACAGAGAAAATTCCAAAAATTTCATTTAATATTCCCATGTTATTCTTATGGAGAATAAGTCAACTGTTGTAATTTGCTTGTTTATGGACATATTTTGATTGAATTTGGAAAATACATTAATTTCTCACTAAACTATTAACATTTTACATTAAAAACACCTTTTTACCCTCCCTGTTGCAGCAAACCTAAGTACTCGTTAAACTAATTATATTTAAATAGGGAATAAATGTGATATTTTTAAGGAGGTATTTTTGTGGTAATCCTATCAGGCTAATGGAAATTCGCTTAGTCTGCAGGTTTGCTGCGGCGGGGGTATTTTTTATTTCTACTATGCCATGTTAATAATGAAAGTGCAACAACTCTGTATAAGGTTTAGTGTAAGTGGTTATATAAAATAATGCGGTTTTGCTAACCCCTTTAAAAAGTTATAGGAGTTTACAGACCAAATCTAGATGAGGTACTTAGGATCGTCTATGCGTATTATTGTATCACCAATCCTAAATGGCCAGGTAATTGAGATTGGACATGATATAGGCACTTTTACGTCCTCCATTTAAATATTGCTACGAGCTTTTCATTCGAGTCCTTTTAAGGATTTTAGGTGTAATGGGCAATAGGGGACTGTGACATTTAAGAGGTGATGGCCACTTGAACGATGCAGTGAAAGTGCAAGCAAGCAAACAAGTGCCTCCACGAGTACATTCAACCGACAACCGCGGCTGAGTTATGAGCTACAAGGAACGAATTATGTTGAACAAGCTCAATCTGTTGATCGTCCTGCTTTTGAGCTTAGATCAATATATCAACAAAGCTGTATTCATGTTGCTTTGTTTATTAGGAGGTTTGTATGTGTTTGTGTAACCTTCACTTGCTTCACAAAATAATGTTACTTTTTCGTCCTAGGGCGTTAGGCACGAACCCGGAATTGTTTTTCAAATTCCTTCAAGCTAGACCTAGGGGTTATTTCATTATCACTTCAAATCCATTGATGATTTGGTAGGATTTGAATCCGGGACCTCAGGAACCGAAGTACCACGCTCTAACCACAACACCAGCTCGCCCCCTCCCCAAAAAATGTTACAGTATTAGAAAACCCCAAGTAATTCAATTTGTTGCAGTTTCCAGCACCTATCATGCCATTAGAAATGTTATACTAATAGGCTCATTTAACATTGTGTCTTCAGTTTATATTATTATAGAGCCTCTCTAGTTGATAGTTTAGTTTTCAAAATACACCCACCCATACAAGTACCTACTAAGTAAAGTAAATAAAAAAAACACCTAACTTTGTTAGTGCTACCAACTAACATATGGCGTGTTTAATACCGACATGGTTAGGTTAGATAAGTTATTGCCAGAAAAGGATAAAAAGTTTAAAATGTCCTAAACAGTGTACTTTATACTTTACCTGCAGTGCCAATGGGCATTCTTTAAAATGAATAGGCAAAGTATATCAATCATTTTAGCCTCTGGATTGCTTATTTCAGACCCGTAGGTCCATCTTCAGTCGGAGGTTTAGGTAGATCATAAGCATTTGGTCTACCTAAACCTCCGACTGAAGATGGACCTACGGGTCTGAAATTAATATCGGACAACCACAATAAGGATTGCTAAGGTAAGAGTTTACATTATCTATTTGCAAAGTATATAATGAGCTTTATTTCATACTTTGCCTGTTTTAGGCAATATACAGAATATACAGGGTGTCCCTCGAGAGGTGTCTCAAATCGATTACTGGAAAACGGCTTAACGTACAAGGATGAAATAAAATTATTTCCAACTAAATCGACCCCAAGGAATAACGTAAAAATATTTTTAACTTTTTTCAAATACAGGGTGTGCCAAAAACTGAGGGTCACTAGTTCGAATCTCGGAATTTTCAAATGTAAACATATGTCATGTTATACATCATTTTAAAGGTATTTGATAGACAAACATTTTGGCGAAAACCAAAATTAGTTATCTTTTTCCGTTTCAAAATGGCGGCAGTTTTTTTGAAAGAAATCTATATTTTTTTAATACTCTGTATTTCCTATACCAATGCATTTAGCACTTCTCCGGTTGCATTTTCTTACTCGTTATGAAATTAGCTTTACTGTGATATGCAACAAGTAACGGTTTTTTGAAATAATAAAAATTCCAAAAAGATTTATTTTTGAAAATTTGCAAATGCTCATTTTTCAAAATTTTCAAATAGCAACATATGTCAAGTGGCACATCATTTTATAGGTTTTTCAATTCCTAACAACTTTGTAATTTACACTTACTTCGTATCTCTTTTAGTTTTTGTGTAAATAACAAAAAACCTAATTTTCCCATATCAAATGCATGTTATTTGGGTTTGACACTAAAGGCTTCATTTCATTTAGTGTTGAACCATGTCAAACCCAAATAACATGCATTTGATATAGGAAAATTAGGTTTTTTGTTATTTACACAAAAACTAAAAGAGATACGAAGTAAGTGTAAATTACAAAGTTGTTAGGAATTGAAAAACCTATAAAATGATGTACCACTTGACATATGTTGCTATTTGAAAATTTTGAAAAATGAGCATTTGCAAATTTTCAAAAATAAATTTTTTTGGAATTTTTATTATTTCAAAAAACCGTTACTTGTTGCATATCACAGTAAAGCTAATTTCATAACGAGTAAGAAAATGCAACCGGAGAAGTGCTAAATGCATTGGTATAGGAAATACAGAGTATTAAAAAAATATAGATTTCTTTCAAAAAAAACTGCCGCCATTTTGAAACGGAAAAAGATAACTAATTTTGGTTTTCGCCAAAATGTTTGTCTATCAAATACCTTTAAAATGATGTATAACATGACATATGTTTACATTTGAAAATTCCGAGATTCGAACTAGTGACCCTCAGTTTTTGGCACACCCTGTATTTGAAAAAAGATAAACATATTTTTACGTTATTCCTTGGGGTCGATTTAGTGGGAAATAATTTTATTTCATCCTTGTACGTTAAGCCGTTATCCCGTAATCAATTTGAGACACCTCTCGTGGGACACCCTGTATAATTATTCTTTTGAATTACTGGTTATATGCTTTGCCTGTAACATATAAAGCAACATCTCAAAGTTTCATG